AGTGGAACTGCAGCATATCTGACTGGGTTGGGGCATATCATAAACCTATACCTCAAACCATCAACTGCAGCTCGAATTTTTCTTTCTATCTTATGCTTCATTTCTATAAATGTGATGTCTTTTTTGAACATCATATTTATTGTTTTTTCAGACTGAAAAACTACTCCGACCTCATTTTCCATAATATGTCCATTATAATGGACAATCGTGAAAAAGTTGTTGCTCATTTTCTGTACAAATAAAAAAATAAATTAATTTAGATTAAAAAATTAGATAAGATAATTTCATAAATCATTAAATCATTAAATATAATATAATATACTATTATATTAATGATCAAATAAAATTTGTTATTTAATTTGATTGATTGATTACTAATATTACTAATAATGATTTAATATTTGATATTTAATGATTTAATAATAATATGATTTAGTCATGATTACTAATAATTATTTATTATAAATATTTAATGATTTATATTTGATACTAATCATTTAGTAATTATTACTAATAATAATGATTAGTTTGATAATATTTTTTATTTTTTAAAAATATCAAACAAATTTGTTAGGCAGAACTGTGTGATAATGTTCTCGAAAGAATTATTTCGTGAGATAATGCGTTGACTGGATTATTTCATTCAATTAATTTTTATTCCTTACTAATTTACACATATAATATAAATTAAACAAAATATTTTTAAAACAACACTAAATATTTTTAAACACAATATTTTTTTAAATAGAAATTATCTCGCATAAATTATCTAATATAAACTTACTAACTAACAAATTTACACATACACAACAACTAAAAATGGACAACAAAAAATAATAAATTACCCGCGTATTTGTGTATTCTTCCTTTCCTTTCTAACAACTAATTAAGCACTAATTAATTTTTTTTATAATATAACTTCAACAAACAACCTAATATACGTTTAAAGATACTAACAAATTAATTAATTTTTTATATTTAATAACTTAAACTAAGAAACTAATTAACGAATTTTTTATATAATATAATATATAACTTAAACTAACAAACTAATATAATATAACTTAAACTAACAAACTAATTAACTAAATTTTAGTTTTACCCTAAACCCTAAGCTAACAAACAAATAATTTCATATAATAAACTAAATTAAACAATAAAAAATTACCTCAAAAAAATGTTTGAGCCTTTATCTTCTTTTCTTCTTCTTCCTTTTCTTTCTCTCGATAAAGTTTCTATATGTGCTGCTTCTGCTTTTACCCTAAACCCTAAACCTCCATATCCTCTATATAAAGAAAATGAGCGTTGGAGAGCGTCATTAAATTTGATTGTTGAAGTAAATAATATTGAGCATTGAATCGTGTAACTATTGAGAGCGTTGAAAGGCTGCAATTCAACAGCAATATTTGCTGCATTTAGCAGCTAAATTAACGCTTATGGATGCAGGAATCTCCCAGCTATGGATGCAACGCATGCATGAGGGAACATAGGGTTAAAGCTTGGCTACAATCTCCCAGCTATGGATGCAGGAATCTCCCAGCTATGGATGCAACCCATGCACGATGGAGCAGGGTTAAGTTTGGTCGCCAGCAGGGATAAGTTTGGTCGCGAGCGACCAGGAATCTCCCAGCTATGGATGCAACCCATGCACGAGGGAGCAGGGTTAAAGTTGGTCGCCAGCAGGGATAAGTTTGGTCGCCAGAGCTTGGTTGCCGGGATTGCTTGGCGACCTACAAGGTCGCTGGGAGTGCATGGCGACCTTGTAGGTCGCTGGGAGTGCATGGCGACCTGTGTTGGGGGTGTTGGGGACGTGCATGTGCCATGCAGACGTCCATTATCTCTATGCAGCTCCCGGGAAGCCATGGCAAATAATATAGAGAGTGCATTAGATCGTGAATTATTTATTTTGAAAGCATTATATCGTGAGTTTAGCCGTTTATAATTAAGTACTAAAAGATAAATAAATATTAACACGAATTCTTTCATGCAATATTATACACATCAAGACCAATAAAAAGACAGTTGTTTTTAATATTTACAAGGGATTTGACTGAATGTAAATGTTGGTAAATTGGATTAATTAATTACGCATGCCTTAGCTACCCCGATTCGATAACTAGAACATTATATTCAGCAAAGTCAACATGCAAATCTTTCAGCAAAGCCAATCAAATTCTCTCTCGTACGGATGCTTCAGTTAACACAACTTCAAGTCTGGGAACTGTAGGTGAAGTTCTCCGTTGGTCGGATGGGACATGGATGCTAGGCTTCCACAAGCCGGATTGTAGGGCATTTATGTTCGGTTGCAACTCGTCTGGTCTCAAAATCTTGAACTTGTGCAGATCTCCTTTTGAATGACTCGGCTGGCCCTCATGCCTCTCTCCCCTTTATTCGAGCCATCTCTAACCTCTATAAGCGAAATTGGTTCACCGAATTCATATGAACCCCTCGTGAAGGCAATATGATCGCGGATGCAATGGCTAAGCTTATCATAATTTCGGATTTTCACCTGGTTACCTTCCAAGACCCCCCCCCTCCTGCTGTTGTCGAGCTGCTCCACAGGGACACATTCGGCCCTCCCTACTTGCACCCATAGCTAGCTAGTTCAAAGCTTTCACCTTCCTTTTACCATTTACAAAATAAAATAAAAAAGTCTCTCTCGTATTTGAAACAAATAAATTTCTTTTCTCCAAAATCTATTCATTTTCACTAAGAAACGAACACATAATTTTTTTATTATGAACAAATTTATAAAATTTTAAGAGGAATGAACTTATAAATTTGTTTATCATATATTGGTTTATATTTTTATAAAATTTATAGGAACTTATATGTAGTTTTACCATTTGTATTCAAATGTTTTTCACGAATTAATCTTTATAAATGCATTTATTTATATGAAATATTTTAATTTCCTTGATAAAATTCAATATATATTATTTTTAAAAATAATTGTACTAAATTTGATTTTTTATTCACTTTTTGTCTTTCTCTAGAAAGATACATGTAGGAAACAATACAAATAAAATATAATTCAAAGTAGTAACGAAAGCTACCTATAAATTTCCTCGCAGTTGCTTCCAAGCATACCCTACCAAGTCCCCACCATTTTGCTTTACTGTTGCTTTTGATCGTTCCATTGCATTGGATTTAATGACACAATTTGGGTTAACTCAAATTAGGATCACTAGTTAGAATCAAAGTTTGAAAGTTAGGAACGAGGGTAAGATTTTATGTTAATGGGATAATTTTTTTTAAATTTTAGGAGGAAAATAAACTTTTAAACTTTTAGTGTTGAAAATAGATTAAAATAGAAAATATATGAAATTTTGAAATTTCTTAAAGAGTAAACCATTCCGACCGCTCTCGATCCATCCCTGTATTTATGTTGAAGAAATTAATTAAAGTGGGTCTTTTACAAATTTTTCTTGGTTGTTATGCTTCCGCCAAGATCAGGCTCAAGTTTGGTGATGAAAGCATGGTGGAGACGTGTTAACAGAAAACCCTGTGTTTGGGTTCATCCCTTCCACTATCTTTTGGAAACTTCTTCAATGCTTTTAACAATTACTTTCATTGTTTCAAGATTTTGGTTTGTAGTACTTGATTCTTTCTTCCTTTGTTTTTATGTTCGAATGAATCTTTCTTTTTAAATCATGGGTGTTATTAGATCTGAAAATCTTAATCCGAAGTCCATTTATCTGATTCAGGATTTGATATGGAATCAAATATAATAATTTAAATTTGATCTAAAACTAAAAACAAATTGAATTGAACTACAAAATTTATTAATAATTTTAGATAGACTCGATTAGACATATATTTTTTAAAAAAGCTAGGAAAATATACTAGACATTTTGCGGCGTTTGTATCCGAAAAACACCGTTATATATCTCGACCTAAACGCCGCTATATCTCATCACCTATTGCGGCGTTTATTCAAAAAAACGCCGTTATATCTCTTCACCTATTGCGGTATTTTTTGTTATCAAATGCCGCGAATTTTAACGACGCTAGTTTGCTCGACGCTTCTTGCGGCATTTTTCGTATCGCCGCAAGCGTTTGTAGTGGCGCTTAAAATGCAGCTACAGGTAAAAAAAAACGTCACAAATACTCTTTTTTTTGCTGTAGTGAAATATTTAGTTTGCTTACTTACACATAGGAATGTGGATTGCACTTTTTTATCTTTTATGTACCTTTTCCTGGTTGCCATTGCTTCAAATGAACACCAAATACTTCTCGGTCATGACTCATTCTCCAACAACACAGGTAGGAGTAGGAGTGGGAGATTTTACAATTCATGGCATGGATTTAAATAGTGGTATGTGTCTATAATAATACCCGCGATATAGTGGTAATGATATCGTTTGATATTGTATGATTAAAATATCTATAATCACTGTAATAATATATGTTATATTTACAATCGTGATAACGTAATCGAAAACGTGACTACAATCACAGAGGTAAATTATTCCATGTATAATTTATATGGTGGATATTCACATCGTTGTGACAATGACACTTGGAATTTTAAACTAAATATACCCATTGCAGTTGGTGTACTTTTCCTTTAATGAAATGAACTTTTTTCTCACTTTTGTTTCTGTTTTCACACTTTATTTAATGATTGTAAATGTAATTTGGTGACGTACCAAAATCTGCATCCATGCATGAAGTGACTCCATTATAACAGCCACAAGCCCTCACAAGCTACTCATCGGCCTCGGTGTTTAATAAACTGACTCACCCACTGCTTATTCCCATGTGTAAATAGGGAAAAAACATACATAAAAGAATTGATAAAAAGGATTTTCTTATTATTATTTTAAGTCGAATAATCATTTTACAATTTTTCATAGTTAAGAACTTAACAAAAAAGAGACATATAGTTGGAGGACTAGTTAACGCATTTTACCCCATATAAAGTTACACAACACATTTTTCTTAGATGATCTGGACCTGTTTGATTTGTACCCACCAAACTTGATCAGTGACTTAACAATAGTTATGACTTTGGAAAATCTCTATACCCCTCTTTGTTGTAATTCTCCCAATGCTTTAGTCAATCAAAGTAAGGTAACGAGAGCATCTTTATCACTCATGTCTGGAACTTCAAATATCAGCTCCTTCAAGTCTTGCACAAGCTTAAAAAAGTTGTTGAATTAATTATAAAATTTAGTAGGAGACAATGAAGAATGAGAATCAATCAGCTGATTAGAAGATTATACAGCCACTTCAACGTATTAGCTGATTACATAGTGCCCTTTTCAGCGTAACTATTAACCAACGCCAAGGCATTGCTCGTAAACTTCTTCACTTTGGCCGCCCTCTTCAACACCTCCGTCTTCACCGGTCCCTCTGCCACATCCTCCAACCGATCCGTACATGTCTCCTCGTCCGTCAAAGCCGCGCTCATCCACGTCTGCACATTCCCCATTTGGAACCTGAAAGACTCCGAACCCGGAGCCACCGTCTGACTCATTTGCTTCAGCGACCCTCGGATTTCATCCACGGCGTCACCCATGTTGGAGAAACAGTCGAGCAAGGAGGCTTTTGCTCGTCTGTCGGCGCCGTTATCGGCTACACGGGAGATGTTAGAGACGTAAACGGCTAGGTTACGAGCTTTGGAGAGGGCGACACCGATGGCTGCACGAGCAAGACGAGCTGGGTCTTGTTGGATGGCGTTGGCGTAGCGAGAAAGGGATGAATAGCAAACGTCGGGATACAAGGTGGCGTAGCAGCTTGTACGGATGAAATCCGTAGCGTTGATGGTAGTGGTGGTGGTGGCGCTAGCGTCGTATACAGCGTAACAGAGGGTCGGGGCTGGGTAGAAGTAAAAGAAGAAGAGGAGAAAGAGGAGAGGTTTCATGGCGGAGGTTTCGGCGATTTACAAGAAAAAGAGAAAATTTTTAGAATTAGAGTAAAGAAGGTGGTGAGTACGAGTGAGGGGGCAGTGGTGTGCAAATGGCTTATGTAGTATCCTTGGGTAGGGGGCGATTTACTATTTTAGTCCAGATATATGAAAGAGTATATATTCATACACACGACGTTTTTTAATGTAATTAGTATCTTTTATATAATTATCGGTAATTGATTTGTTAATCAATTAATTTGATTTAGATATTGTAGAGGTTTAATATAATGGTAATCTTCTTAATTTAATTTGTTCCATTATAATTTGTAGATGTTAAGATTTAAACTCCTAATTTTATATAAGGGAATGTAATATTTTATCTGATTAAATCAGTACTTTTAATGAAAAATAAACAATTAGATGTTAGGGGTAAAGTTGAAAGATGTAATTCAAGTTTCACGGACTGATCGGCGCGATTGACTCTCTTGGTCTTTATCTGGGTAGGTTAGTGATTTGGGGAAGCTGATCTTGATTCAAATGCTTGTATCGGCCCTTTTGCTGAATTAGTGGTTGAAATTTAGTCTCAAAAGGAGGAGAATTTATGTGGGGCTAAACTTTGATACATCTTACAAATTTCACATTAATCTCTTTATTTTTCAAGTTAGAAGCATAGTTATATGTAACAATATACATTAGTTTTGAACAATACATACAAAATATGCTTGCCCTAGTATAAACCAATTTATCTCAGTGGTTAAAAGAATTGTTGTTGTTCTTAGAGATTACAGGTTCGAGCACCAACGATTGTAAGGGTGATTGAACGTTCATTATTAAATGGTTGAGAGTATTTAGAACATATATTACTTTGTAATCACTTTTACCTTCATCAAATATATATATATATACTTGCCCTAAAAGGCTAAAACTCTCTTTTTCTTCTTTGCTTTATAAGCAGTAGAATTAATCTTGATATTAGTCTCGAACCGCCTATATTCTTTTTTTTCTTCTTTCTTTTTTAACTTACAAACATAATTATATTATGTAAAATCTTATTTTCAAGTGTTATGAATATAGACTAAAAAATAGATTATAAAATAAAATATTAATATTTAAAATAATAATTAAATCTAGATTAGAATAAATTTAAATAAGACATACACATAGTGAGATTGATATCTGAATCAATAATCAAATATAAATTTAAACTAAGTTTTTTCTCGCACTCTAAATATTTTTGTTGGTTAAATTAGTAAATTTTGTCAACTGTTATCGGTGGCAGCTTAAGAGAGAGTTCTTGGACCCTTCTATCTTTTTATATCTCTTATTTTATCTTATCTACATTCCATCTTTTTATTTTTTATCTCTTTAAGTTTTATTTCAAAGAGCTGAAATTTAATAGATTTAATGAAAATAATATATATATATATATATATTCTTATAATTAATGTTCATCATTCATTGTTGTAATTAAGAAAAGAAGTCGCATGGGATCACTAATTGGCCTACATGTGAGCAAAAATAAGCAGGCGAATTTCGCTCCGTGAATGAGGGAACTGCTTTGCTCACTTTTATCTATTTATTTTTGTGTATTCAGACCAGCGACAGCCGGACGTTAATTTTGATTAATCTTTTTAATATATATTTTAATCAAATTCAACGTTTTGATTTTTTAAAACATTAAATTATTAAAATTAATAATTTTTTTAAGTTTTTATTATAATTATTTATAATTAATCTATTAATAATAGTTAACTATAATTAATGATGTAATGTACATTTTGTAACAAAATCAAAAGTCTAGTAACTTATAAAAGTTTAATGCTCAATTTTCAAAATAATTGAATGATTATTTGCCAACTTTCTTATCATAATCATTATTATCATATAATTACTATATATATATATATATCAATTGAAATCCAGTAGAGAGAAAATTATAATGTGTTAATTCTTACTATATTATTAATAATGCGAAGATAACTTTTTCGCTACCTATGCATTAAAGTCATTATATTACTTATGGCGATACAAATGACTAGATGTGAATGATTGATTAAGACGGTTCTTATCTGTTATTTTGTTGGTTTTTTTTTTGTTTCGAATCTTTAAATTGGATTTGAATACATGGTTTGCATTCGTAGATAGTTTTTTCATAGCACTTGATTCTGATTTGCGATTGTCAGTGATATTTTAGTAGTTGAATTCCCTGATGTAGTTCGTTTTTCGATGCATACATTTTTGTTTGTATCTTCTATGTACGAGTAGGGGTGTTTATCGAGTGAGTTGATCGCGAGTTAGGTTGTGCTCGATAAAAAAATGTTGCTCTACTTGACTCGTTTCTCGTTAGGCTCGTTAAAATTTTGCTAGACTCGTGCTCGTTAAAAAAACTTATTGCTTGACTCGTTGCTCGTTAAGCTCATTGCTCATTAAGCTCGATGCTCGTTGTTTGCCTCATTGCTCGTTAAGCCCGATGCTCGTTGTTTGCCTCGTTGCTCGTTAAGCTCATTAAAATTTTTATCTTATTTTTTTAGCTATAGGTAAAATCTACTAAAACACTATACATAGCTTAATATAAACATAAATTAATAAATTTAACCAAAAGAGTATATGAAGCATTTTCAAAGTCTAAATTCCAAAGTAACAATCCACAATACATTAAAATAATAAATAGGGTTTGATTTTTGAGTGTAGTAAAATATTAATTAATAATTTAGTATTTTTTGTTGTTTATTAGAAAATTAATAAATTAGCAATTTATGACATTTTTATTATCTATTTGTAAATTAGTAATTTTTTGAATAAAATAGTTTTTTAAGATAACTACTAAAAAATTAACAAGTTGCTCATAAACTTATCGAGTCGAATTGTACTTTGCTCAACTCAACTTGTTAAGGTCTCGAGTCAAGTCAACCCGAGTCGAGTTTTTATCGAATTTTGTTTTGGATGGATTTTTACTTTTCTTTGTATGGTCCTTCTATGATCTAAAGTGACTAATTATCTTGTGTTATTGGCCATAGGAAAATATTATAATTATGTGCTTTTAGTTGCTGAAAATCATTGTAATTTTAAATATTTTTTTAAAAATAAAATTAACGACCCTTCTAAGATTTATATCCTACGTACTTTTGTAACGGTATTTCTACTTTCTTTTTTCTCGCATATGTTACTTGAACTAATGGAGGCTCCATGAATACTAGTGTATAGTAAAAGAAAAGAAAAATCAAATGTAAAAACCGAAAATATACAGTTAATTTCTAATTACTCGTGCTATAGTATCTACAAAAAGGATGACCATATTCAATGTCATAGAGAGAACGGGGCTCGAAATCTCACATACTTTTAATCATTTTACTGATTAATGTTGATTCTCTTAAAAATTCATTAATTGGTCGAATAATAAAGAATATTTATATTATCTCGTCTTATATAAGTTTAAACATTTATATTCTTTAAATATAATAATCTCTTTATTTAATAAAAAAATGGTGATCCTTCGGATACCTAACAATCATAACATTGAACTATAAGCCTACAGTTAATCAAGTAATGTCACTTACGTGGCACATTTCTGTTTAACTAAACATGAAAATAAAGTCTAACGAAGCCTTGAAAATAGACTAGCTTGTTAAAAGATAAAGAGTTTCCACTTCCACGTTGTGAACAATACCTATTTAAGCAGCAGAATTGGTCGAATGACATTCCACGTTCCACGCACGCTCGACATGGACCTAATTTTCATGAGGCCCAGCCACTTCATGCACGTTCTTCCCATTGCCTAGGCCATTTCCAATGTGAGACAAACAATTGCCCTCTCTCTACCCTTTTCTCTCGCTCCATGATTGGATGGGATTAGCTTGAACATGAGCCAATGTCATTGCTCATACCGAAAAAGGAAATATGAGCACATGTCCTTGGTGATTACCAAACCACTTGTTTTTTTCTTTATTAAGGGTCTTGTCCAAGTTGAGTTAAGAGATCTATACTTCATACATGAATCTATAATATAAAATTTTAGTTTCTATTTTATCGTGCAGTCACTGTGGTCGATGTTATCCTCTAATAATTGGTGTTAGAGCTTTTTGATTATTTGTCTCGTCACGATAATAACATCCTTAAAGTATAAAATTCTATTGTTGGATCATAATACCATATTCGCATATGGCAGGTGAACATGCAAGCAATTTTAGTGCTGATGTACTTGAAAGATGTCCTAGTAGGGCTAGATAAGATGTCTTCGACATTGACGATAAACGAAAAGTAATGTAAGAATCGAAATACCCATTCATAGTTATATTTATATTTGTCGAATGAAATTCTTCAGGACATGTTGAAATAAAAGATTTTCATCGCATTATGAAATAAGTTAAGGCAACTACGCATGAAGAAAACCTTATTTAGCAAGTTGTATCTAAAGCATCATCTATATTCTCATTATTTGGCATAATGTTTATCTTTGGTAGAATACTTAACTGTCTTTGAAGAAATTATCTCGGATTTGGAGATAATGGAATTTAAGTATGATAAAGAGGATTTAGGCTTAATTCTGTTTTTTTTTTCTCCAATCTTATTCAACCTTTAGAAATACAATTTGTATAGTCACGAGTCTCTAACAGTTGATGAAGTTTATGACTCACTAGCATCGTATGATAAGATGAAGCATCTTGTAGTTGGATGTGACTCTATGGGAAAATGTTTCGTTATTCATAGGAGAACTCAAGAGAGGTGTTTTTGTAATGATGTCAAGACTAGGTCAAGAGTAGTAACGCGAGAAAAATCTATTATTATTGCAAGAAAAAAGGGCACATCCAGACCGAATGTTATAAGTTGCAAAATAGGAATTAAAGGGATGGTGCAGATCACACGGGAGAACAACTAGAGAAATCTAGGGAAGTTGACATTCTTGAAGACTACCATAACGGCGAACTTCTAGTTGCTTTTGATGAAGACTTTGAAACAAATGATAAATGAATTCTTGACTATGGTAGCAGTTTACATATGAGTTCTAATAAGAATTGGTCTGTGATGTACAAAGTCATGTCTACAGTGTTATTTTTTGGGTG